TCTTCTATACATTATGTCACTAGCATTTAAAAATAATAATAATTTTTTTCGCACATGAGTTTTAAAAAAATAATATATAAACTCTCCACATAGTGCGAAAAGATGACAAACCATGTGTGGAGTAAAAGGGAAGAAAAAACTCTCTACATAGTGCGGAGAGTAGGCAAAATCTCCGTACAGTGAGAAGAAAAAAAATCTCCGCACAGTGACTGTCACGTGCATTGCACGAATTTTACAATTATCGTATTTTTATTAGTGTATGAATTTTATTTTTTGGAAAGTTTTTGAAATAATATCTAAAAATATTTTCATGACAAGAAAAATAATTGCAAATTATTTTTACAATTACATAACAGTATTGTGTTATCTAGGAAAATATACTTGTATATTTCATACTTGAATAATAAATATACGAGATTATACAAATTATTTTGCTTGTATTCTTTGATAGTGTTGATATGATTGAGTTGAATGTGAAAATTATATTTCTAAATTTTGTGTAATTCAATACTGGAAAATTGAAGATTGAGCACCATATTCATTTGCATTTATATTTTGTGCTTCATATATATTTTTATTTATTTTATTCTTATATTGAAAAAATAAAAATATGGAAAAAATACAGTAAGTTGCTAATATGGTAGACAGCATATATGGTAAGTTGCAAATACGGTAGGCAGCATATACAGTAAGCTGCAAATACGGTAAGGTGTTTATACGGTAACCTGCCTACAAATACGGTAAACTGCATATATGGATTTATAATTTGTTATAAATATATAAAATTTATTTAATATTGAATTTTTTAAGTATTAAATGTTGTAATTCAATATTATTTCCTTTTTTATAATTGTATTTCCAAGAATTAAAAAAAAAAGTGGTTATAAAATTGCTAATTTTTAAATGTGTTTTTTTTGTTGAAAATAAAAATGATTTTTTTATGTTATTTGTAAAAAAAAATGTATTTTAATTTTATTAGCGTAATGAGAAGATTTATTATGCATTTTTATTTTTTGTATTTTGTGAAGAATTTTTGTTTATAGTGATTGACAAATATTCTTCCACACACGCATTATGCCAACAACATTAAAAAAATAATAGTAATTTTAGTATATATAAATTCCATGAGTTGGTTTGTCATCTCTTTGAAAGTTTTTTTTTACTTCGCACTGTGCGAAGAGTTTGACAATTCTCCGCACATGGTTCAACTCTCTACGCACTGTGCGGAGAGGCTTTTTCTCTCTACACCTTTTTTTATTTTTTATTTTTATTCCACACCTGGTTCAACTCTCTCCACAATGTGCACAAAGTTTTTTTTTCAATTTTATAATATTGAATTATACAAAATTTAGAAATATAATCTTCACATTCAATTCAATCGTATCAAGACTATCAAAGAATACAAGTAAAATAATTTTTATATTTCTTATTCAACCATGGAATGTACAAGCATATTTTTTCTAGATAATATGCTGTTATGTAACTGTAAAAATAATTTGTAATTATTTTCTTATATCTTGGAAATATTTTTAGATATTGCTTCAAAAAATTTTCAAAAAAAAAATTAAAATTCACACACTAATAAATCTATAATAAATACAAAATTCGTGCAACGCACGTGATAGCGACTAGTATTGAATATCACGGAAAAGAACGCGTCTCTAATCTAGCACTTTATATGGATCACATGATGCATTTTCAGGGAAAAAAATAGTTCTTTTTAAGATATGACTAGTCAAACTTTGAACCGTTCTTAGGTAGAACACTGCAGTTGAACTTATTCTCAATTTCAAGGATAAATTGCATTAGATGTCTCCAAACATTTCAAAAAATTGCCTAAGATCCCAAACCTCTTAAAATTTATAGACGAATCCCACAATCAACATTGTGGTTTCACAAGACCTT